ACGTGTTGGGAAGCTACTGTACCATTTGTGGAAAAAGTGGATTCGTCGGAGAAAAAAATAAGTTTGTGAAACTGATTATTTTCATTTAAAATTTTGTCCCCTATCCACAAACAAAAATCTAATCGTTTTGCTTGGTCTTCATCTTCTAGAGCTTGATTAAAATGTGGTTTATAAGGAAAAAAATTGTTGGCTTTTAATATTTTTTGAATTTGACCTTTTTGGACCACCTGCAAATTTTGAGCTCGTTTTCGTAACGACAGAATAGGGTTTTCCACAACATACTGCAAGACGACAACTGTAGCCGCATCATCCTCGTCAAAAAGTTTCTTCTTCTTTTTTAAATTATCCACCGACCCAGTGTTCTTAAATTTTTTAACCAGTTGACGAGTTCCATGTATTGAAACTGAAACCCCTGGAAATTTTTCAACAAATCGTTCTTGTACATATCTGTATGAACGGTCGGCAGTTCCATAACACTGCACCAAAAATATTTTGAAAATATTTTATAAAACGAAATTTATAATCTAAGACTGTCACTGTGGCATTTTTTGTCATACATAGGTAGGCTTTCTGTCAAAAAAATCCCGAGAGGTAAACCACTCTAAAATCAGCGAGACCAACGTTCAACATTATGTGGACGTTACGCTATGATTTCTCCTTATTCGACCATTATCAATCGTTATCAATACGGAAAAATCCTTATGAATAAGAAATTTTTCTTAGCGACGCGTTGCTATGAGTACCCTTGTGATTTTTTCCTTAGACGTTAATTCGTATGCGATTTATATTTTTTTTAAATCAGTGGTTTACACCTCGAAAAATCCGGGACATTTAGAGTAAATTTACAAAAATGACACAATCAACAATTATCAAATAACGTCAATTTAACAATTTGCATTGTAGCATTGTACATTTTTGTAGATAATATAAATTTTCACAAAATAACCAGGTAAAGGAAACGTAAAATGGGGTACAAAAGTATAAATTAGAAATTAAATTTTAAGAAAAATAAAATTAGGAATACTGAGTTGAAATTTTACAATTGGTCTTTGAATATGATTTGAAATCTTTTTTTTATTTGTCATTTTGCTCCAAAACTAAAAATAAAGGTAGTTTACTCTTGATAGTATTTCATGTTTTCTTGTTTTTCGACCCCCTGTATAATATTTTCAAATTTAAAGTATGACAATAGACTTTTCAACACAACCAGAACTTTTTATAAAGAATGACTTTTGGTCGAAAAATGAAAATTTTAGTCCATTTGTCCTCTTGGGACCTCTATCCGTGGACATACTGTAACTTCTACTAGTAGTATACTATGGTAGTCTTGGAAAGGTGATATCTTGCGAACAGTCACTTACTATCAAAACACATATTCACACATACAATTGTTCGAGTGACGCAATGTCGTAGAAACAGGGGTTGCTTAAGCTTATTGTCCCATATAAACTTTGAGGTTAGGTTTTTATAAGATTTGATGCAATATTTCGATTACATAGTTCGGCTACCATTAAAAAGGTGTACCTCTCAAACGGTAAAATAAACCGTTTCCGAGATATTCGAGATTACAATAATTGTTATATCGCATTATTTAAAAGGATTAAAAGGTATATGATAACAAATTTTATTTTTTAATTGAAAAAACTAAAAAGGGCATTTCATGAGCCTCGGGACTTTTTGCCCTGACCGTCACATTAAAAAAAATGTAGTTTTTTCAATTAAAAAAATTGTTATCATATACCTAATGCCATTTAACAATTATTGTAATCTCGAATATCTCGGAAACGGTTAATTTTATCGAAGTTTGAAAGATACACCTTTTTAATAGTAGCCGAACTGAGTAATCGAAAAATTGCATCAAATGGCATAAAAACCTAACCTCAAAGTTTGTATGGGACAATAAGCTTAAGCAACCCCTGTTTCTACGACACTGCGTTCACTCGAACAATTGTAATTATGTGTGAATATGTGTTTTGGTAGTAAGTGACTGTTCGCAAAATATCACTTTTCTAAGTCTACCATAGTAGAAGTTATATTAAAAAAACTGACATGATAAGTAACACTTTTATCACCCTGTATCTTTTAGACATACGTAATTAGGAAAAATATTTATTTAGATTTTCGTCTTATTTTGACTTGCTTAATCTGCTCCTAAATTTATGCCACTAAGTTTAGGGACACCTTGTATATTGCTACTATTTTAAGAAAACCTAAAATATTAAAATTTTGTTATGATACATTGTACACATAGGTATAATAAAAATGTATGATAGGCATATTGCCTGGAACTCGGCCTATAGTTATTATTTATTTAAATATTTATTTACCAAGTAAGATTAACTTATAACCATGACCTTACCAAAATGTTTTTAATGTATAATTATAGTATTATTAGAAATGAATAATTTAGTATATTTTGTTCTTATTATTTTTATTAATAAATTCCTAAATAAAACAGAGAAAGTATTTATTGTTAAACGACATTGACTTAGTTAATTAGCAAATAGGTTAATGTAAAAAAGATTTTAAGATTTCTCAACACTATTTTAGTATGCACATTTTGTAGCATACAGGTAAAAATAACAAATGTTTTACCTTGCTTGTGCTGCATTTCTATAATCAGTAATATATCCAGTTCTAGGAGAGTATGCCAAAGGAGAACTAAAATCAAAAGCCCAAATGTACTCCATTGCACTAAACTTGAAACCCACAAAAACCAAACATGTTTAACACTTGACTAAAATTATTAACAATATTTATAAATCTTTATATAAGTATGTAGATAACCTGCTGTGCAAATGTTTAACTTAAAGTGTCATTAAAGAATATGAAGTAACCTTTTGTTTTGAACTGGCAAAACTCGGTAGTTAAAACTTAATTGTATTGCGTTTTTTTCATATCGTAAACAAAAAACGAGTAAATAAATATTTATTAATGCATTTATTTTTATGTATAGAATAAATAAAATATTTCTCTTAAAAGTATTTGATATGTACCCAGACAAATAAATAAAAAATATAAAGTTCATGTATCCCCAAATATTCCTTTACCGGGAACATAATATTTTTCCCTTTTAAAAAATTGCTCATCAAATTGTTCTACCTCCTTCTCTTTTGGTTTATTTAAACTAAATTTTGATTTTTTAGTATCCGTCTCAGGTTTTGAAAGGTATTCATCATTATCACAAGCAGATGGATTAAAGTATTCTCCATCCATGTTATCAAAAATTGTTCGAATATTTTTTTTATTTTTAAAATCAAAATTTGCTTTTTCTGCATTTAATACTTTTGTATCGTATTTTAACTGTTCATCAAAATTTAAACCATCCTCATCATTCTGTCGTATAGAGATGTAAGTTTTTCTAGAATAAACATATACAGGTTTATCAGTTTTATCTTCTGCTTCATTTTCTGCTGAATGAGAAGTTTTTAAAGAATGTTCTTCATTATTAACTGGGGTTGTACCACAACCCTCTTCATCCTCTTGAGAAAAATTAGATGGGTCTTTAATATATTTACATTCCTTTTTTTTTAATTCCTCAGTACTGGTACGATCTGAGGCCCCAAAAATGGCGGCTATTTCTTTCATGTCTTTTTCAGCGGCACATCTTTTTTCTAATGCCAATTTAGCGTCTCTTTCTTCTTTAGCTTTCTGTTTTGCCTCTCTATTGGAATCTTCCCTGTTTTTTAAAATTTTGTGTTTTGAAGCACCGTAGAAAATACCAGCGATTAAAAGCGCATAGCGACATGTCTAAAAATAATATAATAATAGATATTTTACCATACTAATTAGTCACCTTTATAAACGGTGATATTCTTTGGGGTTCTGGCCATTCAGGCATGTTGACATAAAATGTCACAATAAACTGTCATAGCCCATGGTCTATGCTAATCACACCTTAAGGTTAACCAGTTTGTTTATGTATTTTGATAAAACCCCCATAAAATAGGGAAACGTTCTTTGTAGTAAATAATTTAAGTGTTTGTTGTGCAAAACAAGATAAGGTAGAACGGAAATACAGTACAGTGCGTTCGTAAAATCAGCTTTACGGAACTTAATAAAGTAGGTATACCTTCAAGATTAAAATCATACCGACCATTTTATTTGTTATTAATAAAGCAGCCTTAAAATTATAATTACCTTATAAATAATAATCGTTAGCAAATAGTGTAAAAAAATATATATTAAAATTTCACTTGCAGTTGCAAAATATTGCTTAATTAAGAGACAGTTTTTAATTTCAAACAACCCATTGTTTATATTTAAAAAGGTTTTCTAAAAATTGATACATCAACAAGTTTATTAACAAAACATAATTGTTTAGCGATAGCATTAAAAAGGTAAAATGATTCCTTTTACATTTTTATCTTAAATTGTATAACTGAACGATAAATAACATGGTTTATTTAAAATGCATTATATTTTAATGATGGTTGAAAAATGTGTCTTCCATTATACTTAACTAATTTATTAAATTATTAATTTGATTACCAAAAACTTATGAATCATTAATTGTTTATTTCAAAAAATTATTTAAGCGTATCTACTTACAATTATATTCTTAATATTTACTACATTATTAATATTAAACAATTGAAACTTCTTATAAGAAGTTCTTAGCATATATTAATTAGGTTTAAAATTTAAACCTAATTTTGGACAAACTTTAAATTAGAAGAAACTTAGATGAAAGAACAGCTTTTTAGAGTACTGGACAATGTCCAGTGGACATGTCCATTTGTATAAACCAGCTAAATCTTGCCTTCTTATAAATATTATGTGATTATAATATAATCACATAATATTTATAAATATTATTTACTAGTGTTTTGTATTATTATTTATGAATAAAGACCTATATTAATATTATTATTATTACTATTATACAATTCAACAGTTTTAACTTGTTGCATCTACTGTAGGCGAAATTATAATGATTCAATTTGTTTATGCTAATAACCCAATTTAAACTAATAATTAATGCAATAAGTTGTACATACCTTCTGGGGACTGATGTATTAACATTCGGTTCCTGCGATTGTTGAGTGGGTGATGCGGCAGGAGTACAACTGGGCGTACTGTCAACACTGGTCGCTAAACTCGATTCACTTGACGAGAGACTCCTTGGTCTCCGGGAGCGCGAAGACGCGGAACTACTACGAGCAGGTTCCTGAGACACTCCACTACCGTTAGAGTCGCGAGAACGCGACCTGGAGGACCTTTGAGTCCGGTTCGTGGCCGTAGACGGCGGCAGACGAGACGGGGCACTTACTGGGCGAACGACTACAGGAGTTGAAGTCACCGGAGCTGTGAAAGGTTCCAGTCTTGGAGCGTCCGTGACAGAAGCTGAGTTCGCACTTTCGGATTGATTTGGCTGTTGTGTATCGCTGGGAAGTCGGAAGTGCCGCAGACGGCGCATCGAGTTGCGCAACCACGTGTTGCCGCGACGTTCCTCATCTTTAGCTTCTCTAGGCATCGCTGTGTCCGAAGAACTGCCTGGCCTAAATGTTCTGCCCAGCGGCTCGACCACCACGGTTCCGGTATAGCAATCACCAGAAGCGTGTGCGCGTCGTTCTTCCACCACGTCTCGTGCCACATCCTGCACCCAGCTCCAGTCGATGTTTTCGTCTGAATCGACAGCTGGCCCGGATGTACCGTTCTGAGCGCACCTGGAGCCATTGTTATTGCCAATCTCAAGCGACTTACGTAACGGGGTTCGGTTGAGCGAAGGCCGCTCCCTGCGCACTACCGCCACTGTCACCCTGTGCGGGTGGTTCCTGTTTAACGCTCCGCTACGTACTCCGCACGCGGATAATGGTCTCCGGATATCCACTCCATTGTTGTTGTTTTCCGTATCGATGTAACCCCGATTTACACACCCGGATGCCACGAATTTCGTGTAATTTTCTTCCATAAGTTTCAACCTATTTCTGAGACTCACTTCGTCAATCGTCTCCTCCGAAGTAGTTTTAAGGTCATCGCTTAAAACCGAGTCTGTTAACAAACTCTCGCTGCTCGTGCTTGACTGATCGTCCATGCAACTGGCTGCGTTTGAATCTTCCAAAGACTCATCGCACCCACTCGTATCCAACGCCTTTAAATAATTATCTAAATCTTTCAAGCATTCCTCTATGGTTTGTGGAGTTTGCTCGCAAACCACATTATTTAATAGAACGTTTTCCAAATCTTCGTTACAATCCGATAGACAAGCATTTAAAATTTCATCTAGATTTTGCAAAACAATTAAAGCTTCTCTGTTATCACAACCACTCGTATTTAAACCATCGTGATTATCATCATCTTCATCATCATCATCATCAATGGTAATTAATATATCTTCTATATCTACACTGGTGCGTCTAGAGTCAGTTGCAGGAACATATTGAGATGTTTGTAACGTTTTCTCCAGAACAGGCAACTCTGAGTCTATTAAATTATTATCATACTCCTCATCATCCAAGTCGGTAACAATGGGCGATCTGGGTAATATAGGCGATCCATCGTGTAAGTTAATCAAGTCATTTTCCAACACTTCAACGGACATCTTAAGCCTTCTTTTTAATAGGCATTACCTGCAAAAAATAAATAAAAACATTAAACTACGCCCACAATTAATAAAATGATTTCTTAGATTACGTGAACTACTTTACTGCAATTAGGTAGACACTAAAATTAATATTGGAGTTATAATAAATTACGTTTTCTCATGATGTACATGCCCAGTTACGAATACGGTTTAAAAAGGGTCAATAAGTTAAATGCAAAGTATCGTTCTAGTTTCTGAAGTAAATAACATAAATTAGTGGCTTCTCAAGATGGTATCTGTTCTGTTTAGCGGGTCAAAGTCGCGACCTTTAATACAGGGCGGATATTTTAACAATAAACCATTGTTGCAATTTTCCTAATATTTTAAAATTGCATTTTTTAAATCTAAGAAACTGTTACCTACTTTACAACTGTGTTGGATTTTGCATCGTTTTTTAAACCTACTTAATGCGATGTCATTTATTGGTAAATCATTATTAAGAAAACAACATGTGGTGGAATGTTAATATTTAAAATTTAACTGTATTAAGAGTGTGTTATCTAACGGTGTACAATAGCTTTTTGCCCATCGTAGAAAAAATAAGTTACTGTAAATTATAATTTTATTGACTGAATGAAAATTCCTATCGTATAGGTATAAGTAATCAACAAGCTCTAATTGCTAACTTATAATTTTAGTAATGGCTGTTTTGATTTAAAATATTGATTTTTAGTTGCTATAGCATTAACATAAAAATCATTCAATAGGTAAATTTTTTAAATGTAAAACTGTAATTATTGTTAGAAGCTCATTATTAAAAAGAAAATTACCTGCTATAAAATTAGTAATTTAAAGTATAAATGTAATATTTAATTTATATCTTATATAATGGATTTATTTTTTTAACTGTTTTTTTATTAATATACCATTGTGATTTTAAAACAATTTAATAAAAACATTTTATTTATGTTATAGGTACTCTATCTAAACTAAAAGTTAAAGTTTAGGCGATATATCAATATTCTATCCAAACTAAATGTTAAAGTTTAGGCGATATATCAATTTAAGTTAAATGCACAAACATATATATTTTCCCATGTTTAATTAACTGATGGATTTTCGGTGATAAAAATATATTTTAGTATACTACAATTAAATTCAGAAAGTCAACCAAATATAAATTTGTAGTCTTGTTCACAGCGCCGCGGCGCGCCGTTTCGAGAAAATTTAACGCCCTAGGCGAATGACTTAAATGGCGCCCCTTGAAACTAAAATTTAAAAAAAATATAAAGAGATTTCCAGGGCCTCTGCGGTTTGAGAAGTACAAAATGTACAGTTTGTTATTTTTTGATGTGGGGCCCTTCTTTTAGATGTTGGTGTAGAATTTAATAATGAGGGCGGTATTTCCATAATTTGCTCAGCGTGATTAACTCCCCTAAGAAAAAAGTTTTTTGGCCTCCAAAAAAAACAAAGAAGAATATGGAGAAGATGGCGGAAGTTGGAAGCTACATAAATTAAAACAAATATTTTTCGAAACAGGTCGGTACTTTTGTATTTTTTGTAAACTCTAGACCACTATTCAGTGTGTTTTATAATAAATTATGAGAAATTGTTACAGAGTTTTGATTGATATTTTTTCCTTTTTATGTTAAGAAATGGTACGTCAATTTGACGTCTTAAATTGAGGTACCAAATTGGTCGAGGATTTACGTCTTTGGGCTGGCGACGTCATTTATACGTAAGTACGACGTCCCAGTTGGTCAATAATTGCCGACATTATGACGACAGTAATTATGTAAATGGAGGGTTTTCCGGGGATCACACATAGCGGTAGCCGCAGTGTAGCACTCGCCTTCCGGCAAATGTTTATTGGGAAACAGTAAAACACAAGTCTTCGTTCTGTAAAAATACTTTCAAAATTAAAAATTATTGGCGGACTTAAAGCAGCGGTTTGATTTAAACAGTCTTCTTTGGTCCATGTATTGAACATTTCCAGCTCAATCACCTCCCAACTTTTTCTCGCACATTCTTATCACTATACTAGTCCTTAGTTTCTTATAGGGCAATATTCAGCAATTTAAAAAATTCAACCTAACGCAATGGCTTAATGCTGCGGGCATGTTGCAGTACCGGTTGATTCGGACAAAACGCATGTGATCGTGCCGGTAAAAAGCACATGGATAAATGAATAAAGTATCCATTGCGGTAGACCGCACCGGTTTTTTTTACTGCAGCGCTAAGTTGCAGGGGCAAATTTGAGGAGGCAATATATTTCGAAAAGTTACAAATTTTCCTGTAAAAATTATCGTAAATGTGACCTAGGCGGCAAAAAAATATAATTTTCAAATTATTAATTTTTTTTTTAAGTTCGAGCGGCCTAGAGTGTCACCTATTTGAATGGGCCGGCCCTGCTTCTTTATAACTTTAAGTAGGTTGGCTGAACTTTAGGATGACTCATTCTCGATTTCTTTGTTAACTTACAATGATGCATACATAACAAAACCTGTTATTGATTTCTTTATTAGTTAAAAAATATAATATAGACCTGTATTAAAAATTCTTAGAGCTCTTTGTCAAGTGAGCTATGAATAATCTAAGGTGGTATAACCAGGTATGTCTATAAATAGGTAAAAAATTATATTTATTTTATTAAAAATAACTCTACAACAACCATCTGTGTTTACGATAGCCGACAAAAGGGGTGCATAGGTAGGATGTATTTCGGGGCCCGGGGCAAAAACAAAAAACTGTGGGGGTTCATTTTTTCTGAAGTCCTTTAATACTGTTTAATGGGGGCCCCTGTAATGTCTCCTTATTATTTAACCTGTAACCGCATTCTATTTATTTTTGTAGCCTATATCACCGCATGTAATAGTGTATACTTTTAAACAGAAAATTCTTCGTCCCATTGGGGCTCACGCCTTAAACCTTGACTTTTTCCACTTATTTCCATAGTAGCATTGGAAAGGACAATTATTTTTTATTTTTATAGTTTTTTCTCAACTGTATTCGAATAAGCCCAAACGCGGGTCTTGGAACAAATTGCCTCTCAGCAAAGATTTGTATCGATAAATGGAATTTGATTCAACTCTGGCATTATGTAATTATTTACCGCCTCTAATCAATCGAGAGGTACTAGCAAGAAACGCTGAACCATGGGTCAGGTTATGTAATATTTCATTAAAATGGTCTGTCTTGACCAGTAATTTCAATGGAGGTGGGGTTCTTGGTAATCTTGTTAGATGTAATTAAAAATAAGCTTAGGAAAAGTTGAAAGGAATAACAACAATAATTCTGATGCCAGAGAAACATTTTTTTACTGTTTTTATATTTTTTAAAATTGTAATAAAAATCATCCGAACGCGAAAAAAATCTACCACGATATATTTGATATGTATATGAAGATCCATCGAAAACCTTTAGTAAAGCTGTATCTTTATAATATATTAATATAATGTTAGTTGTCCAGGGGGTTATGCATCTACTCTGTAAGAACTATAAATTATCTAAACCTGTTGAAGTATAGATACCATCTAGTGACTAGATTCTAGTATAATAGTGTAGATTCTACACTATTAGACTAGATGACAATTTGGGCTCGCTGGCTTTAAAATGATCATTTTGCTCAGCTGTTATTTTTATTTTTTAATTAAATACATTAACTACAGTGGCGGACACGGGATTACAAACGACTAAGTATCATTCCGTTGACATCAAAAACTAAACTTCCTTTATGGACAACAAACCTTTTTTTAAATTAGTACAGTGGTGGACACGGAATTTCATTCATCATAATTTGGTTGCCCTTGTACAGAATCATTAAATAGCAAAGATACAATAATGACATCTTTGCTTTCGCTGCCAAAAAGACAAGAATAGTGATTATTTTTGTCTTTTTGGCAGCGAAAGCAAAGATGTCATTATTGTATCTTTGCTATTTAATGATTCTGTACAAGGGCAACCAAATTATGATGATTGAAATTCCGTGTCCACCACTGTACTAATTTAAAAAAAATGTATGTGCAAGAACGTTTAACAGTGTTATTGTTGTATGATATGAAACTCTAAAATTAATTCATAACTTTTCGCAGAATTTATTTAAGAAGTCGCGCTTAGAACGAAAGGGCCCAACACATCAATAAATGTTTACACGCTCGGCTAATTTTGGCACGCATTAATATAAAAAAATTAAAATTATACAATAAAAAATTATAAAAGCATATATTATTGCATTGAAATTTTACCACAATAAACTCGATTTCTACATGCGAAATGCTACAAATTCAGTAAATTTTATTATTCGTGTAATTTTTTAAGTTGTATTTGATAAATACAATATTTTCAAAGAATAAATGTGTATAATTTGAATTTATGTCAAAATATTCGTTGTTTGGAAATGTTTGATTTTCCATCCATTTTGACAAAAGTTTTTACATACAACCATTAGATTTATATAAATGCCCCCAAAAAGTTGTGTGCATACAATATTATAATTTATTATGCTCTTAACTTTGTAGAGTCATTTTAATCTATATTTAACAAAAAAGTCGATTTAGTTTAATATTTTAAAGGGGGAAATGAGTGTATGGGAATTTATATTTATATACCTCAATAGGTATACACATTAATGATGACCTACTTAGGACAATAGAAGTTCCTTCTTGATAATCAAGGTAGTAACACTATATATAAAGAACCCCACCTCAATATATATTAGGTAGATATTTATTATTTTATTTTATAGAAACTTTTTTACAAATTTCCCCATGACTAAATTACTCAAACAGAAACAATATTTACTTGTCTCCAAAATAATGCATTGTTTAAACAACTTGTAAAAGCATTTTACTTGATTCCCATGAAAGTATTTCAACATCAACAATACATACTGTTTTGTCAATGTAGCAATTTTAAAATTACTTTGCGTTTTTCCTTGCGAAACAACTTAATCTCAATATGTGTTAGTAGGCCTTCAGTTAACAAAATAAACAAACATATTTAAACAATAAATCAAATACATTTCGATTTCCAAAAACCCGAAATAACATTATCATTTTTTTAACGCAGTGATTAAGTAAGTTATATGGACAAAAACATAAAATTGACGTAAAGGTAATAACAGTATTTAAAATTTATTTAAATCTTGTAACAAATTGCAGTCAGCCTACAATTATGTTCTCATTATAAATGTAAGGTTTAAAAATGGATAATTAAGTTATTTATGCCCACCCAAACCGGTTTTCCTCAACATCCAGGTACCTAATCTCTAAAACTATGAATGCATTTAACTCGTCGTTTATCTGACAAAGAGGCGTAACTCAAAAAAAATCGTTTTTGAGTTATACCAGAATGATCACCAAAATCGACTTTATAATCTCACAAACTGGCGTAGCTCTATAATAAATAGGTACAAATAAAGTTTTAGCATAAATCAGTTTCGGCGTAACTAATATTTTTGCATTTTGTGTGCCGTACAAACTGGCGTAATTCAATTCACACCGTTTTGTTTAAAAATGAGATACGCCTCTTTGTCAGATAAACGACGAACTGTTTCAATAAACGTTATCATGCAATGTTATTGCAAAAACTAAATCTTATCATTTTAATTTAGTAAAGTAAAATCTGCGCAAACCAGGTAAGATAAGTATAAAAATGTATTAATGTACTAAAGCAATACCACTAAAAATTGCAACTAAGTCTAGACATTAGGAAAACGTTGTTTACCTTTTAAAATTAAGTATCCAATATGCGGCGATATCTGAACACATGCTGTCTTTAAAAGTGAACAGCACTCTCACACCGCTGAGGAAACACTAAACATTTAACATGAACTTAACTAAGTCTAATCCATGGATTAGAAGTGCAGCGGTAGTAGTATTAGTTTTGTTTAAATTTTGAATACAAGCTTTTCTTGGTATTTTTATAAAATATATGCAGTTTTAAATGCCAATATATATGTTTATCTACTCATACTGCACAATTTTGGATTTTCCGTGAATACTGATAAACATTATAAATTCTCTGCCTAACAACGGAAATAATGAACTCATTATTCACGTTGTTAGGCATCAGTGATTGGCCGATTTTAAGACTCACTGTGATTTGAACCAATCGGGTTTTAAATTGGTAGAAGGCGACTATAATAACATTTAAAATTGGTAAAAAATGTGGTTAACCATTTGACCGATGTCAGATATTATTTAATTATTTTTGAAAATCATTTCATTATCTACTTATTGGAGTGGATAAGAGATTATGAGCATTATTCATTTGGATGATTTGAGTCTGGCGACTCGAGACCCAAACCTCATCCTCGTAAATAATAGCCTGCATTGTCTCTCGTATAATACTATATTACGTACTACTAAATAACTATCTCCTATTGCACAATGGGAGTATTTTTAAATATGGTTTTCGGGATTGAATAATTAACCCCAGTAGCACAAAATATTGGTCCTACATGGGGAGCGTCTATGCCCAATATTTTATCTGAGGCCAATATTCGATTTATTTAGCCGATGTTAGCCATATATTAGCATAAAATGATAATTTAATATATCTTGTCAATGTTTATACAAGGTTGGCATATTATTTTACGCCAATATATTATTAACTATAGTCAACGTTGCTTTCGGATTTCTGAAAGTGATTTTAAGTTGGGGGGTGGCGCAACCAACTACCATCCTTATTGTTTAGCACCAAATGGGTGAAAATAATAAAGGCCATTCTTGCATATTACCGTAATATGCAACAAGGGTAATATGCGATTTCTTGTCTTATTAGGAATAAAATTCGTTATTACGTTAATAAAGCTCAAGCTGATCATTTTAGCACACGATACAAACCATTTTAGCATTTCATCGTAATTAAGAATAACATATACGGTACAGGACTTGTCTTATTGGTAAATTTTTCAAAGAATTTGGAGGGTAAATTTTATATCAAGTAACCCCCTCACCCCTTAATCATTTGGGTGGGCATTGTCACCCCCCCACTTCTACGCCTCTAAGTACCTACTATAAACATTTCCTGAAAACAAACGTTTGTTGACACGATCGATCGTGTCGACAAACGTTTATCGATTGCGATCGTGACATATAACTTTTAGAAATCCTACTACGTAGTAAGTACTAGGTGGCTATCTTTTTTCTTTCAATTTCTACCTAAACTTTCCTAGAATATAATGTAAAACAACTTCGGGCCAATGCGAATTTCCAATATCAGTTATATAATGTCAATGTTGGGTTTCAATATTGGACCATGCTAGAAAAAATCTGACGAAAGATATATTATATTGGGCCAATATCTTTGTGCTTTGGAATTATTTATTCCGGCCAAAGTAACTGTCCAACAAAATTGAAACCTGACAGAATTGAACTTTATAATAGTAGCTTTTCATAGAATTTTTACAGATTTTCAGCTATTATAATAATTATGTTCAGCTAAATGATTCTCTTATATTTAAAAAAATCATCTAGCTAAACCTCTAAAATAATTATAGCTAAAAATCTGTAAAAATTCTTAAAAATAGCTACTATTACAAGGTTAAATTCTGAAAAGTTTAAATTTTTTTGAAAAGTGACTTTGGCCGAAATAAATAGTTAATTATTCAATACCGAAAACCCTATGTTATTTATATAGGAAACTTGCACTGCAACGCGGCACGGGTTAAGGTAGTTTAAAGAATATTATTAAGATTTTAATACTAGACTAACACATAAACATCAAAATTAATAGTTTAGCCGAAATATTGAATTTATGACTATCAATTAAAATTGGCAAAAAAAAATTCTTATATATTTTTAAATAATAATAATCTTGCCTTAAATTGTTCCATTTCGAAAATTAAAGAAAAAAATATGTTGGTAGGGACTCACTTTAAACATGACCTTTAATATCAGTCGTACGAGTATTCCTCATTGTTTTATAGTTTTCCTTGACTCAACTAAAAGTAATTAATGGTATCGCGCTTTTAAGTGGTGCCATTACAAAAAATTACCAAGCGTAAAATTTATGGCGAGTTGAAATATCGCATATACGAATTAATTAAATGCGCCTTTTAAAACCTTGATCGTAAATTAATAACCATGCAGGAGGAAAAGGAATGAATGAGCAGGTATGTTTTTGGTTCTGACAAGGTGTCTATGGCTGGAAGTTCTTTGACCGTATACTATGAATTTCCGGTGACCTTCGAGGTCGCTATTTTTAAAGAGGAACGTTCCAGATGCCCAGGAAACCCTTGTCTTAGCTATGAATAACAGAAACCAACCCTTCAAATGTTCACATTTTTTATGCTTAGATGTTAATATTCAATTAAAAATCAAAAATGTACATTTTCCGGTTAAAGTGGCGTAAATGTTAGTAGTCGACCACAGCATTAATCAAAAACTATAGAAACTTATTGTCCAACTGCCACATGCCCACTAATAATGTTTTGTGGGCATAAATGCACCATTATAATAATCTTTAATTGGTTTAAGTTTTGGTAATAAAATGTACATTTTTGATTTTTAATTGATTATAGCATAAGCATAAGCATAAGCATAATGCTTGTAAGGCACAACAAAATATATGAACATAGATTTAGAAATTTTTAATAGTTTTACTTGAAAAGCAATTTAATTGACATTAAACTAATCTTGAGACCTTGGAAAATCCGGAAATATCATAAATTATGTTTATTGATAAAATAATCAAATCTGCAGATAAATTGTATTTTTTGCACTAAGAAATAAAATGATAAATTTACTAAATTTAATTGTTAATTTAGTTTTTATTGAAAACAATTGCATAATATTTAACATTTTTGATGATTTTTAAATAAACTTTAAATCTGGGTCCTAATACGGATAATGTTTGTATTGGTAGATTTGTATTTTTGTATTTGTATTAGTTTGATTAATGAATAACATAAAACGAACATTATATTTAATACTAGCAGTCAACCCGCGGGCTCCGCTCCGCTTTAGTGTTTTGCATTATGTAAACCTGAAATAGATTGTAACATAAAATGAGGTTTTAAAGAAGCAATTTAAAAATCCAAAAAGATGAAATAGATGAAAGATAAAACAGAATTAGTTACTCTAATGCTTCTTTATAAACGATGTTGGGTGTATTTACTTCATTTGCCAAGACCACGACCTTTGTCGCAAAAATTAAACAATATAAGTAAAAAAAAAATTAGAAAAAATCAAAGAATACATTTTTTTTTTGCAAAATTCAACCAACAATTCAACCACAATCCAAAAAAATTATTTTGCATAAATCAAAAATTTTAAAAAAATCCAATTTTCCAGGTGCTGGAAATTTTTGGATAAGGTAAAATGTCAAAAGGTCAAAGGTCTAATGTCCAAATTTGTGTAGACCGGGCATATCCGCCTGGCCAACTGTCGGGCATATCCACCTGGCCGAATGTCGGCTGTGTATAGTTGGCCGAGTGCCGGCCACAACAGCCTGGCCATTCAAAAAAAGACTATACGTCCTGGATAGGTATATCCTATAGGTTTAACACACTTGACTATAGCTAGCCATTTTTCGTTACTGAGCAGATGAGGATGGAGATAGGGACTCCAAACAATTAATGTTCAGCTATGTCATTACAAACGCACGCTTCCAACTAAAAATTGCAACCCATCGCTATTTATAGTTAGCTCGCTTGCGTAAGCAGCCGTGAGATGTATCTCTTATGCCGCGGCAGACCGTATTCCGGCCGTAAGCGGGCCGGCTAGGGCAAGCCGAACGATTTTGCAGCGGCATGCCGTATTCTGGCCGACTCCGGTTAGAACATGCCCAAATGGTACCGGGCTAACATAACGCGGGCCATAAGCCGAACCGCCGGTCAACCGCCTATGCCGAGCGAAGGCCGACTGTTTTCCGAGTGTTTGGTGCTTACTGGGGTCCCTGGCAAGTATCGCTCATTAACAAAAGGGGTCACTCTGCTATCGTTGTGAAGTAGCATTGTGATCCCCTTGGCCGATGTTTGGCCTGTTTAAACCCACATTATAATTTATAAATTCTCTCGCAATTCGCCATTCCCTTCGCCCATCGCGATACAGAGGCAGTATGAATTAAATGTTTGGTGTGTAAATGTCAAGGACTGTTAAGATTGTGCTTTTTTTAAGTTTTGGGTAAGTTTTCAAGTGAAAAATTAAAAAAAAACCTTTTTAAGAAATTGAGAAAAGTTTATGGTATTTTAGGTTCGTAGGAAAGGGATTAAAATTTTTACTAAGATTATTTCCCTCATTATAATATGAACAAAACAAAAGACTTGAATTTTCGAATAAATTTCGTTTAAATAAGCGTTTAAATCACTAGAACTATTTAACAGCGATTAAATTTTAGCCCCCATATTGAATTTTTCTTTACGATTTTATGGTGTTATTTACAAGTTTTAACAAACATTTTTTAAAAAACAATAAAAAATAAGTTATCTAGTTTACGAAATATCAATTATTACATACCTTAAATTAATGGAATTTTCTTTAAAAAAATATTTATAAATTTTGACACATACGTCAGATTTTATGAATTGTCAAATAGTTCCCTTTAATTCGAGAAATAATCTAGACGTATATCACTCAACCTATAAATTTAATCTGTCAAACTATGCTCAGTAAGTTTTTTATTTGATTTTTTTTTTTGGAAAATAGTTTCATGCAAAATAATTAAAAATAAAACCCCTCTCGTGATTTTATTAAATTATTTTGCATTCACAATTTCCAACAGAAACCAAACAAAAAACTTCTGAGCCTAGTTTAACCGATTAAATTCATAGTTCTCGTGATATAATATATGATTAATGGT